AGAAGACGAAGAGATCAAAAACGCATTGGATTTATATGTGCCACCAAAAGGAAAGTGGACCCTAAATGCTACGAACTCTTTTGACTTAAAGGACGAGGTTGACGTTTTCTTAACTTCTAAAAAAAAGGTTCTGATGCTACTAGGTGAAGCTGGAGCGGGAAAGTCTACCTTTAACCGTCACCTCGCTCAATGTCTTTGGAAGGATTATTCATCAAAAGACGAGTTAAATTTATTTATTCCTTTATTTATTTCACTTCCAACTATAGATACAGTAATCCTAATGAGGAAATTATTCAAAAATATTTAGAAAAGTTAAGATTTTCTGAGTAAATTATCGAAAACTTGAGACAAAACTGCAAATTCGTGTTTATCTTTGATGTATATGATGAGATCAAGGACCGTCAATCAAATTTTTATGATAAAGCTCAACTTCGTGAGTGGAAGGGTGCAAAAATCATTATTAGTTGTCGACCAGAATACCTAAATTCAAATTTCTACCTCATGGAAATCCTAATTCTTTTTAAGAAATGTGGCTAGCACCTTTTTCTAAAGACGATATTCGAAAATATATAAAAAAGTGCGTCGAAAATCAAAAGGACAAGGACATAATATGGAATACGCAAAAATATGAAGCAGTTCTAAAGCGTAATCCTGATTCAGGTCAGTTATTGAGTAATCCCTTTATCTTAAAGATTGCTATTCAAGCCATGCCAGATTTAGAGAGTGAGAGTTCGGCAAAAAATATAACACATATGATCTTATATAATAAGTTTGTGGAGAAATGGTTCGAACGATCTAATGACCGTTTAGAACACATTCAATTAGACGATTAAGAAGATAAAGCCAAAGGTGTATTGTATAAGAAAGATTTTCTGAAACGTTGCATAGAATTTAACGAGAATTTGGCGGTCGAAATGTTTAAGGCTAAGGAAGTAGTAGTAACGTGTTCAGACGCAAATAATACCGATTGGCGAGTTAACTTCCTTGGAGATAAAGATCTGGAGATACGAATTTTACGTTACAACTCTCCTTTAAGTCGTAATGGGGACCAATATCGATTTATTCACAAATCTTTATTTGAATATTTTGTTGCTCGATCGATCTTTGAAGATATTTGCAAAAAAGCTAGGTTCACACTATTTGAAGAAATTCCAATACTAGACGATCACGGAATCGTTCGTTTTCTAATCGAGTACGTGCAACAGAGTGAGAGTTCAAAAGATGCACAAAAATTTAAAGACAATCTTTATGACTTTATTGAGAAATCGAAAGAAGACACCAATTTCGAAATCTCCGCAGCAAACGCATTCACAATTTTAAATAAAGCTGGAATGTCCTTTATTGGAAAGAATCTAAATGGCATTCATATCGCTGGTGCGGATTTAAGTTACGGTTTGTTTCATTGCACTCAATTTAAACAAGCAGATTTAATTAATGTTAATTTTAAGGGGCATGGTTACAATATGCAGATTTTAATGAAGCCTATATGACAGGTGTGCAATTCTGTGAATTTCCCTTTTTAGATTTTGAGGACAGGTGTAATTGCTGCTGCTATTCTCCAGACGGACGTTCTCTTGCTGTTGCTAGTGGAGGAAAAATTTACCTTTACAATGTCAAAACGTTAGAAAAGATACATACACTCGAAGAACATACTAGTAAGGTTAATAGTGTGACCTTCTCACCTAATAGCACTTAACTGGCATCGTGCAGCTACGACAAAACGGTGCGTCTGTGGTCTCTCGAGAATTTGTATCAGAATCCACGCATTCTAAAAGGACATACTAGTTGGGTTAATAGTGTGACCTTTTCACCTGATGGCACCCAACTGGCATCATGCAGCGATGACAAGACGGTGCGTCTGTGGTCGATCGAAAATTTAGATCTAAATCCACGTATTCTAGAAGGACATACTTATCGAGTTTAGAGTGTGACCTTCTCACCTGATGGCACCTAACTGGCATCGTGCAGCGATGACAAGACGGTGCGTCTGCGGTCGATCGAGAATTTAGATCTGAATCCACGCATTCTAGAAGGACATATTCATTTCGTGAATAGTGTGACCTTCTCAGCTGATGGAACTCAACTGGCATCGTGCAGCTTAAACAAGACGGTGCGTTTGTGGTCTCTTGAGAATTTAGGTCTGAATACACGCATTCTAGAAGGACATACTAGTAAAGTTAATAGTGTGACCTTCTCACCTGATGGCACCCAACTGGAATCGTGCAGCAAAGACGAGACGGTGCGTCTGTGGTCTACGATATCTGGTAACTGTGTAGCTATTATATACTTTCCCGGAGAAATTAATAGTCTTGATTGGAAGAATATAAAAGCGAGTGGCCTCTTATTAATGGGTGGTTATGATAAAGTTATTCGTTTGTGGCATGTAAAAAGAATAGATGATCAAACGTCGCAAATCGTTTTGCACTGGACATCCCGTCAAAATATGTTATGGATTTCTAAAGCATATATTAAAAACGTGAAAGGCTCGGATTCAATGAATATACGCCTTTTAAAGCAAAGGGGTGCCACTCGAAAGTTTAACAAAAACAACAAGCTTAAATCGAAATTACTATCAGTCTTATTGTGATACTCTAAATAGCGATTGCTGTATTTATTATAAATAAATAAACACATAAACCAGACTAATTTAAATGTATCGTAGCTACGTCACAAACTCGCACAAGTAATTACGTGATTTTTACGATCGTCTCAGAATTACATCATAGGGTTTTGCTTTTAATTTTATGTTTATAATGCTCACTCACTATACAAATAACGAGAAAGCAAACGAGCAAATTTTTTACAGGCGGAAAATCAGGCAATTTATTTTATTTTGGTAATTTAGGGAGGGAAGAATTTTATAGTAGCTAGCCAAACAGTAAATCAATAAACCATAATATTATTTTAAATTATGATGGACCCTATAATGTATAAAACAACATAACGATTAAACTGGTTATCGATTCTACTTAGAGAAAGGGAAAAGGTTGCTCTTTTTATGATTCGGTTGGATCTGAAAACGCGTTAGCTAGTTTTTTACTTTCAAATTCGCGTATTGACATTATCTATAAGAAAACATACAAATACTGTATTGGTTTGTCATTTTGATTTGTAATTGATTCCCGTGTTCCGAATGTGTTACAAAATTCGATTGGATATTAGAAGTGTTACTATCACATTTTCTTATGGAGATTTTTGAGACGATTTAGCTCTGACTAGTTTTGAATACTTGTTAACCTTCTTTCAACCAATTTTTTTATTTTTCTGCTGGAAACATAAACTCCAATTTTTCTATTAGCTACATTAAAGAATTACAAGTATATTGAATAATAGGCAATGTGATGGGTTTATATTTGAGATTTGAAATTTATTTAATAATTGTAAGAATACCATTGCTTTCTCTTTTTGTATTGGGACCAACTTATGCATTGCTAACTCCAATTTAGTCCTACAAGCAAATTGATCAGAATTACCGCGTTAAGATCATGAGCCTTCTTATGAACCAGGATCATTATGGGAAAAGTCAACTGAAATATTAACACAAAGGGGTCCCGTTAGATTTACAAACAAAAAGAAAAAACACAGAAGGCTCTATAGTAGTTAAGAAAAAGAAAAGAAAGAAAAAATAGAGGTTCGTCTTATAGCACATTTTTTTTCTTTTGAGTTGTTTTCCCTCGATATTTTTATCAAATACTATTATTTTTTAGTGCAAAAAAGCCTATGGATATTCTAATGTATTCGTAGCTACCGAATACTTTGATGGGTTAATTTACAGACCATAAACAAAAGAAACTCGAGAGACATATAAATCGATTTGGCATTCATTCATTAAAACATTGGTGATCAAGCTTGATATAATTTGAAATGCTATAGACAACATTATGAAAGTTCACCATCATTCATGGCATCTTAAAAATGTTAATCTGTTGTTTGTTAATTCACTAAAAAATCAATATCATAAGTTAAAATACAACTTATAAAGCAAAAGCATTAGTTAATTAAAAATTTTTCTTTATTTAAGGATAATTCTACAAAATTCTATCTTTCCCTTTAAGTTCAAAAGAAATCTTTCAAAGGTGTTGAGAATGTGACTGTTGGTGAATCGAAGTGTGCAAATATATCTAATGCAATGATACCATAACCATTTTAATATTTTTTTTCTTGTCAAAATAGATGATAAACTTAGAGTTATATTTGATAAAGAAGAAAAAGAATTTGGAAAGTATTAAGTCTGAGAAAGATGATAACAAAGATGATGTCGAAGCATTTACAACAAGTGTATTGGGCATTGGTCAAGTTGAGAATGAAGAAAAAGAAGAGTATTAAACTGTTATTGGTCCAGATACTGTCAAATAAAAGAAGGTTACTTACTGATGCACAGGTTTTACAAAAAAAATTTTAATGATATTGATATTTTTAGCTTCAAACTTAATACAATTTACTATCCAAATCCATATGCTGCTCAAATAAATGTGTAAATACTTGGATTAGACAGAAATATTTATAATTGCAAAAATAAATTAAGGCTAACAAATTTGATCTGATTAATATATGTTGACAATAAATAGGAAATTAACTCTATAATATATAAAAAACTAAAACTGGAACCGTGAATGCTAAGTAACAAACTATTAAGCATGAAATTTATAAGAAGAATTAGATAAACCAGTGCAGTACTTAATTTAATTTTGCTTCTATTAAGATTGCTTTGCCTTCAATAACAATAACAATATATAAAGCTGTAATTGATTTCAAATTATTAATATTTACGCAAAATGAATATTTAATATCTAACAAAAAAATACAAGCTGCCAAATATATTTCATAAGATTTTGAAGTTATTAAAGATAATATTAATTTTTTTAGAATCGCAAGTAATTATACTTGTTTTTATTTGTATAGCGAATAGATAAAGAAAAATAATTAAAATTATATATTACTGTTTATTTAAGAAAAATATTAAATCAATTTTGATTTAACAAATCTGATTGAGTTTTTAGTCAAAATAATTTAAATTCAGCTTCTTCGACGTGACCTAGTGTTTCAGTATAGGCTACTTCCACGACCAAATTTGGCCAAGGTTCCTCCTAAATAAAAAAGGTATATAAATTAATAGCTTCAAAAAGTTCAAAACCAACTAAAAGTATAGAAATTACATTTCTGTCGCTCCCATTTGGCGCAGTTACAGCTGGTTTTTTTGGACGAAAAGATGCATCGGCTTCCTTTCCACGGTTTATGTCACGTGTTCCTTTAAGAAATAAATCAATGCGATGCGCAATATGTTGTTATAACATTGATACTTACTAGTAGCACCAAAACCAAGAATTTTGGCACCAGTTACATCAGCATTACTCACTGCTTAATTATTTGTTTATTAATTGCAATGATGCCAACTTTGTGTGGCTTAGAGGGAAACTCGTAGATTAAGACTTCTCCATTTGACCACTCCCAACATCCGCGAATATTAAACTCTTCTGTACGTCTTTCATATTCCTCAACATCGATTCCCTTAGCAAGCACATAGGGTAATCTTATATATGTGGATAACAATTTATATCAGTCACTAGCTAAAACAAATATCGATACCAACAAGTAGAAAAAGAGACTTACGTTACTTCTTCCCACTTTGCCTTTTCGCTAAGTTTTCCTTCATCCCACCAAAGGTTTCGATAAAAGATATAATCCGGCATTTGTTCATCACTACTAAGAACATCTCCGGAAACTAGCGAAGAAATAAGGAGTAACAGTTGCGCATGTCTACTTACGCAGTAGTGGCAGAGCTTATCCTTGTTAGCAAGTGTATCAAGGGATCAGCATGACTCTCACGCTCAAATTTGTATTTTTCGAAAAATTCACTTTTGAAGCAACTTCGCTTCTAGTTAAACACCTTAATGACGCAAAGTATGTTGCTATGTGTTACTAAACTATCTATTTTAAATATTACAACACTTCTAATTTTTAAAGAATCTTAAAACAAAGTTGCATAATAAATGTAAGAAATAATGGTAATTATAAAAAACTTTTGTGAATTTCTTAATTTTTATTATTTTAAACCAATTTTTTAAGTTATTTATAGAAATATGGGACATGACTTTAAAAAAAAAATAACAAAATCATTTTTTTCCTAATGATTTAATTAACGATTTCGAATATGTTTCAGATAATGATATAGATATTGAAAGCATAGGATTAGCAAGTGAAAGTCTTATATCAGTCGGAGTCAATACAGGAAGCATTATTGACAACACATCAGATTTTGATGTGGAGATTGATTCCTTTATTTTTGATGAGATTGGATTTGACAAGGCACGAATCTTAGCAAAAGCAGAAAAAAATAATAATGATTTTTTTAAATAATATAAACAATAGTGATATTGAAGCAGACAGTAACAATAAATTGGAATTTGATTCGACATCATCATTAGGTTTGACTGAAAAGAAATATTTTACCGAAAACTTGAAAGATAACAAAACATTGACACCTTGTCCAATCATAAATATCATTAATGATTATATCCAATGTTGTTCAACTTATTTATCAAAACAAAAACCATCTTTTCAACTTATTAATGCATAGGAAATTGATAAATCAATTCTATGAGATGCAAAGAGAAAACAAATTATCAACAACAGATGTTTGCCAATCTCATTTCAATTTTTATCACAACAAATTATATTATTCAAATATTAAGCAAATATAAACAACTGAAATAGATAGATCTTTTGTCAATACTATTTATTTTGTAATAAGTTTAAATATTGTTTTAGTCAAAATAAAACACATATATAACTAGGGCTCTGAAAAGTACCAAACTAGTATCAAACTGATATCAAAATAGTATCAATCTATAGTAAATTTAATATATGAATTGTAATCTACTTATATAAATTTATAATAAATTTAAGTATTAAACTGGTATCAAAATAGTATTGAAGTAGTATTGTTAAGAGTTCTTTATACAACTTTCAAAATATGTTTTGAAAAAAATATATATTATATATTAAACTTATGGATTGTACTGTATTTAAATAGAAAATAGAGTCAAGATCTTCTAATAATAATTTAAAAATTAAATATAGATCTCAATATATTTGTTCAGAATGTTTTATTGCTTATGAAAAAAATTTTTATAAAAAAAAAGGTTATAGAAATAAACCAAGTTTCAAATATATAGATATATATATATAAATAATATAAATAAAGTATTTCAAATTATTAGTTACTAGATTTTGTATATGGCTTAAAATTTAAATAAAAATAAAAAACAAATCTTTTATCAAGTTTAATTTATATTTTACAAATATTTCTTGATAACAAATCTTCTAAAAAAGTAATAAGTTTATTTGATTTCTTTTTATTAAAATACTATAGTTTTAATATTAAAATATATTTATTAAAGAATTTTTTAAAAAAAATATTATTACTTTTGGAATCACTACTAATTTTGAATAGGCATTAAAAAATTTAAACATGAAATATATAAAATAAAGTTTAAAAAACAAGATAAACCTTATAAATTTAATATCATTAATAAAATATTAAAAAAATTTTTAAATTATATTAAATTTTTTTAATAAATTTATAGATATTTTTTTTTTTCCATAATCAAACAAGTATTTTAAGAGTTTATTTAATCTTAAAGAAGAATACATATTAGTTTAACAA